GTTTGATATCCGTGGGGCTGGTGGCATGTAGTGACTCCCTTTGTCCAAATGTCTCCCCTGGAAGGGAAAAGGTACCTCATTCTGTTCCACGGAAACCAATAGAATCATCCGCTGATGACTGAACAGATACGCTTTTATTCTTGTTGGAATTAACGTTGCAATAGCAGATAGAGTGTATTTAGTCTGCCGTTAGAGCTTCTTGATCGTCGCTTGGTTCCATGGGTCGCTGTTATCCCTGTTCTACGGCACTAATCGGTGTTCCACTGTCATTCCTCGGGATTTGGTCGGCCGTGTCTGCCTTAGGACTGTTGTTCGTTCATGCTGATGAAACACCTGAATAAGACTTTTAGTAGGCTCTGACATGATTATGTGCATCTGGTCAGTTTGTTGATCTCTTGGTCAGGATATTATCGTTGCACTTGAGTGCTTTGCTTCTGGGTGGCGTAGGGGTAAGGAGCAGATATTTTCTCTGCGTAAGAATTAATTTGTTGTCTTTGTTTATTGTCCATTCTAGTAAATATGGGAGGTGAATTCTCGATGCCGGGGTGTTTGACCCTCACAAGTTATATATATATTAGCAGTTGCTAACTTTTGCTACAACACAGAGTAACCCACGCAGGTGCTGTAACGCTATAGCTCTTGAAATTTGATTATAGAACCTATTAGTACAATTGCTAGTCTTTTTCAAAACATTGTATTAATATATTGAGCACTCTGTAGGCTTAGCATGTACAATACAATCAGTAGCGCTATAAGACCCAGGACTAAGTACTATTCACATCGGTACCCTATCTTTAGTGCTTGGTACTAACTGCTGCTATACAACCATGGGTTAAGACATGTCATCATCCACTAGATACCAAAGAGAATATAGCCAAAATCTCCTTGACGGTCCGGCTACCTCAAACAAGCTCCTTCCCATGATCATTCTTCACCTCGGCAACCTCCATGACTTCTCCGTCCCCATCCGCAAACGCCTGGTCCCCGAATAAGACGGCAATTTCCTCAAGAGTATTATTTGCAGTCTCCACATAGTAAAAGTGAACCAGGCCCGCGGAGAAGAGACAGAATCCCGCAATCAGCAGGTAGAAGTACCCATGGATACCTGCAAACGCATCCGGAGACACCATGCCGATGATAAAGTTGAAGATCCAGTTGCTCGTGGTAGCCAGCGCCATTCCCTTACTGCGGCCGCGCAGGGGGAAGATCTCCGCGGGGAGAAGCCAGGGCATCGGGCCCCAGGTGAAGCCGTAGACGATGTTATAGAGCATGACGAAGGCGTATTGGCCGTTGGCTTTGACTGTGATGTCCAGATTGGCGTCGGTGAAAGCGCAGACGATACCGAGCAGAACTGCCATGGCGAGGCCTGGTTGATAAAAGAGTTAGCTGGCCGTATGGTTTTGGCAAGGCACTGTGAGACTCACCTCCTAGAATGAGCAAAGGTTTCCGCCCCCATCTATCCGCTAACCACCATGTTACGATTGTAGCGGCTGTGTACGGAAGCGCATTGGCAGCTGTGTACAGGAGCGATTTCCGATTGTCAAATCCGGCGGATGCAAGGGTGCTCGGAAGGTAGAATGAGATGATGTTGATTCCGTTCAGCTGGGCGAACATCTGGACCGTGATTCCAACGATCGTTCGTTTGCGGTAACGAGTAAACATTTCCTGTTCATCGTATTAGCGAGATTGAACCTCACAGAGTCGTAACAGGTTGTCAGGCCTACCTTCCAACTCGACTTTCCAAGGTTGGTTTCGTATATGACTGCTTCTTGGATCTCGAGAAAGACCTGCTGCACATGTTCTGCCTCTGTGTCACCTCCAGAATGCAAGTCCGCAACAGTCTGCAAACTCTCTTGCATAAAACCATTCTTCGCCAGCCAACGAGGTGTCTCCGGCAAGAAAAAGGACATGGCCAACAAGATAAAAGAAAGAATGATTTGAACGATGAACGGGCCCTGCCACGACATATGGCTCGGTAAAAGGAAATTGAAGCCGTAGTCCACCCAGCACGACAACATGTACCCTGCAATCAGGAACGTATACTCGATTCCTACCATAAGACCACGCCGATGTGGGGCTGCAATCTCCGTCTGAATAATAGGCACGGTCATGGACAGAAATCCGACTCCCAGACACTGGATGGTACGGCCGGCAATAAACGTGGCGAAGTCGGGAGCGAAGATTTGAATGAATGCACTGAAGAAGTAGATGAAGCCGCCGATGCGGACACACTTCTTTCGTCCGATGATGTCGCCGAGACGCCCTGCAATGAGTCCACCCACGGCTGCTGATGCTTGGAGACATGCGACTGAAATGCCCGTGATAGATGGATCGACTGCATTCGTGGTGCCGTCTGCACCGCCATAGTCTTTGAAGAAGCGAGACACAAAAACGGGATTGACCAACAAGCCGGACATAATACCTATTGCCGTTAGTATTAGCACGTCCAGCGTCCAGCTTGTAGGTGGTTATACCAGAGTTGTATCCAAACAATGCATCGCCCAAACTTCCAAAGGCACATGTCGCATACAGCAATGGAGCTCCCTTGAACGGATATCTGGCAGTGACCTTCTTGGGCTTGAGCTTTCTCTCCAGCCAGCCTTGTTGCTCTGCAACCTGCGCAGCCACAGCTTGCGAGCGGCCTTTGATGGCCGCATTGTGCGCCGTCGCAGACGTTCTTCTGACACTCATGGTCTCGAGAAAAGAAAAAGGAATACAAATCAGCTGTTAGATGCCGGTCATTGACAATCAGTCCCAGCCAGGTGGCAGCGGCTCTATTTCTAGTTTTCTACCCCGGAGTGTGGTCCCATGGGGAAGTTAGACTTTTCTCCAGGTCAAGGTGTAGGGCCGACTTGCAAGCATCCCACAACGCCATGTTCAAGTCTGCCCCAAACTCCACAATTCAGTCTCATCACGGCACTTGGTCGGAGATCTCGTGTCTCTGTCTTGGAGCCGAATAGTCTTTCAAGAAAAGTTCTCAGGCTCGGGATTTGTATGTAAGACTTACTCGATGCAGCCAATCATTGTGTAACCATGACCCGCAGGCACGCTCGAGCACAGGTTGAGTCCAGAGGTCAACCGCAATGATTGGCCAATGGCTCCTCGAGGCCTACCGGTTCCGATGGACGAGTAACCCGGACTATTCAGTGGCTTCGGTTCCGTGCCCACAGTAAAGTCAATTGGACTCGCCAAGTCCAACTCGGTTTCGGTAGGACCAGACAAGTCACGTGTTCACAGATGCAAGGCAAGGGTTATAGAAGTTTTGATTGTAAACGATGACAACGTTGAAATTTGGTGCTTGTGACTTCGGTTAGCAGGGACTCACGAAATAATGTGTTCATAGAGCGAGTTGTCGCTATGTTGGAATGTCTCCTCTCGGCCGGATGGTCGCAAAGAGGACGACTTCGGCTATCTACTACACAACCACGAATCGTTGTATTCTATCACAAAGCGCGCCATTTTAGTCAGGACAGACTTCAGACGGAACAGTAGACGAGTACACAACCATCTGGAGTGGGATCGGCCCGACTAGACGGACCCGAATAGGGACAATATCCGCCGGAACCGATGCGCACGGAATCGGTACGTCACGGGGTAGGATACACCAACCGCAGGATGAAAGAATTTAAAGACTGGAGGAAACCGTGAAAAGTATATTCCATTGAACACACAGTTGCAAGTATGACGGTTACAACACCGAATCAGGTTGGTGTAGTCTTGGTGTCGTCTTTGTCCTCTCACTCACCTCAAATCACCCAGGCGGTAAATCAGGCCTTTGTTTTGCATCCCGGAGGATCATTCCACTATGAGCAGCGTGCTGTACCTACGCTGGGATCAGATCGAGATGTGCTTGTCCGAATTATAGCAACCGGTTTATGCGGTTCAGATGTGGGTGGATCGCTTCGTTCATGGTCGGAGATTGCCTGCCAACATTGAAAGCTAAGTTGTCGGATACATAGGTACATTACTGGCAGCACGGCCGTATAGGACGATATATCGTCGAAAATCCAATCATCTTGGGTCACGAGTCATCCGGCATTGTGGTTGAATGCGGAAGCAAATCAGGTTTTGCTGTAGGGGATCGTGTCGCACTGGAGCCTGGTGTCGCGTGCAATATCTGCCGCTATTGCCGTGCGGGCAGATACAATCTCTGCCGGGAGATGCGCTTCGCCGCCACGCCTCCCTATGATGGGACACTTGCGACTTATTATCTCGTCCCAGCAGAGTGCTGCTATAAGCTGCCCGCACATGTCTCGCTACGGGACGGTACCCTGGTTGAGCCGCTCAGCGTGGCTGTGCACAGTTGTCGACTCGCAGGAGATATGCAGGGAAAAACAGTCGTCGTCTTCGGCGCGGGCCCGGTCGGCCTGCTCTGCGTGGCCGTGGCGCGTGCTTTTGGGGCGTCAACTGTGCTCGCTTTGGACGTTGTGCTCAGCAGACTCGGCTCTGCGCTGAAATACGGGGCCACGCACACATACCAGATGACACCTGAGTCCCCGGAACAGAATGCAGAGGACATTCTAAATACGGTGGAACCGGAGATAGGCGCCGACGTTGTGCTGGATGCCACCGGTGCGGAACCTTGCATGAACTGCGGTATTCATATCCTCGCTTCTGGAGGAACGTTCGTCCAGGTGGGTTTGGGGAAGCCGAATCCCTCCCTTCCGGTCGGTCAGATCTGCGACAAAGAGATCGTCTTCAAAGGGAGTTTTCGATACGGTCCGGGGGATTACCAGACGGCAATCGAGCTGCTCCACTCTCGTCGGATTAGACTAGATGGTCTCGTCACCCACGAGTTTCCGTTCACACAGGCAGAAGACGCGTTCAAGAATGTCGTCAGCCGAGCAGGGATCAAAAGTGTCATCTACGGGCCTGGTGTAGACGAGCATATAGCGAAAGCCACGTTGACATAGAGTGACTATGCGCCCGTTGCTGTAACTGAGGTGTCATTTCCTTCTGTTTCCTAGAAAACGGTCATATGTCTGGCCAATGTATAAAGCCTATGACTCTGTTCCATTCCATGACATATCCCATAGCCAGTACAACCCTCGTTCACCCGTGCCGTAGGTTGCGGATTCCATTGTCCCAAGAGAAACGCTGGGGTCATGCCATTCATTCGGGGCAGACTGCTGCCATGCATGGTCTGGTTGTAATGTGTCCTGAATGGTACCCCGAGCTTGGTGAGTGTCACTCGCATACCAGTTGAAGGAAGGATCATCATTGCCGGACGGAACGACTAAAGAGAAAGCCATTGATCAGCATTTCCAGTCGTGGAGCTACTTGTCAGAAAGACGTAAAGTCACTCACCGAATTGAACAGATGCTAAACTTTCGTTCAGACGCTGAGCCCTGCTCTGGTCTGGCCATGCCGGTCGTCGCGCCGGGGCATCAAAAAATTCAAAAGTGGCGTCGAGAGGGAGTCGGAGGGTGTCTTCCACAGACATTGGTGCAGAGTCTACTAAAGACTGGTGACCTTCTTGCTGATTGTTTGCCGTGATTGGAGCCAGAATAGCCTCTGATTCACGGCGGAGAAGCAATGTGACCACGTTCTTCAAAACTGTCGTACTTTGCTTCGATAATGCAGAGCGCTTTCCAAGAAGATCCTGCAGACGCAAGATACGAGTGATTGTCCGCTTCACGACCTGTGCTGTGTCCGAGAGGGGATCTGACAGAGCCATGACCGCCAGTACAATTGCCGCGTTGAACATATTTATGGCCAAGAAGGCAACCAGATGACTATCCGTCGCAAGCTGAGCCAGGACCGGTAACTCAGTCACTCGGGATGTTCTCAAGGCCGCATTCCACCAGTGTACCGGACTTGTGGCAGACGCATTGGGCGATACAGCATCGAATGCTGGGTCCCTTTGTGCTGGTGATGGCCCGCTCGGATGGCAGCCGGGGGAATCTATCCGGCCGCTTCTGCTAGAAGCGTGCTGATTTGTCGATAGGTGATCAACTTGCCTTGCCAGTAAAGGTCGGTGGAGGACAATGAGAATATTATCGTAGGTCAATTGCAGGGACAATGATTGTAAGGCATGTGCCCTGGCACTGAGCCAGCTGTCGGGCGGGAAGTCCCTCTCGAGGTCCAAGACTAGATGCTCAGGTAATTCATCCCGCCATCTCTGGAGATTTTGAGTCACTTCTTTGACGAGCGCAACGTATGCGTCCCCCGCCAGTTCCTCGGACGAGCCTGACGTCCGCGAGCCGAAAATTGCCTCCAGGGCAGTGGATGCCATGAGGTAGAGCCGGTTCAACTCCCTTTGATATGTAGAGTAACAGACGGTATATCCCTGCTCTGATCTCGGTGCAACAAAGTAGGGATTTTCGAAAATATCCGCTGGCATGTTGAGATTGCAGTCCTTGTCGTTTATTCCCAGTGGTCGGCCATAGGTGATTGACGCAAATCTATCCCAGGTGTATATGGTCCACCATACACGTTTCCTTTCTTCAATATCCTCGAAGTTGCCCTTCGAGGGTTCACGGTGCAATCCTGCCGCTTGGGATATCTTGATAGTCGCACCGAGTAATGAAAAGGAGAGATTGGGACGCCCGTGGTACACGTGGTACGACCCGAAAAGGATACAAATCTGGGCTGCTGTAACAGAAGGTTGGTCCATCAACTCAACAATGTGCGATTCGACGATCTTTAAGAGGTGTGAACTCAATTGTTGCCAATTGCCATTGTCGGTCAAATCAGTCGTCCTCCTTTGGGACCGATACCACGCCCCCATACCCAGTACAACTGCAAGGAGCAGTAAGAATGATTTCTGGGAGGGATAGGCAAGTCCGTCGGTTACGGACAAGAGTTTCCTGCGAAAGGTATGTTCATAAATAGCAAGAGAAAACCAATGGACTGCATCAAAGTAGTCCTCAAGCAACAAATACATCACCTCCGTCGGCGGTAAATCCTGACCTAGTATTGAAGAAATGGGAAGTCGTTGTCCGACAGGTGCGGTGCGCCGCTTGGCAACGCTGGTGCTCGCTCGGTAGCCTGGAATGGCAGACGTGGCTTGCTCATCGATATGCTGTCTACCAAGTTCACAGATTTTCTGAACAATTCCCATGGTAGATTCCGCTTCACCGTAGTCGATTGCCGGATGTGTAACACGGCCGTCTGTAGATATACGGCGGTCATTGTTAGTACCTTCCACTGGTGGAGCTTCGTTACTGGAATCATCGAAGCTCTCTGTAGGTTGGTCAGCGGTGGCTGTTGATGTGGTTCTTTGTCGCTGGTGACTTCTCAAAGTTCTCTTTGATCTGCTACTCGTTAGTAAAATTAAGAAGAATGAGAAATTCCGCTCAGAAATGATCTCGTCCCTAGCGACTTACTTCCGAGTGCTATCCCTGCGGGTCCGACTAGCAGGAAGTGGTTGGCAATCCACTTTTGCTCGTGCACAGAGTGAGCAAGGTCGGAAAGGATCACACTGCAGACCAAGAGGTTGTACAACGTCAGTAACCTTCCAGAAAAGAGCATTGGAACCTTCTAATGGATATCCATACCCGAGTTTTGTGGCGGCGGCATCTCTCGCACGCACTACTGACTCGCGTCGGCAATGGTGAGCGAGTATAATTCAAGTATCTACCGGACTCTAAACGATATTCTGCACTGAGCTGTTCTGATGGATGTTCAGACATGATTCGAATCTGGACATGAGGAAGGCCGATGCCGGTAGCGGACCGCAGATTGGAGAGGAAACAGGATCCGGCGGAAATTCACACGTTTTTCCCCAGTTTGTGTCTGTCTGTTCTCCGCACCATGTGGTAGCCTGAGGCATATCAACTTTCTGGTCATGTGACTCTTCATCGTGGAGTATACCTTCGAGATAATTGGAATCAGGACTGTTGGAACAGGACAAGAGTCCCATCAAAGCGGTCTTTGCTCCATTTGTCTATGGTCCAAAATTGATTCTAGATATTTGAGTGGAGAAAAGAGTATCAGCTTCAGTTCACCAGACGTCTATCCCAACGTAACTATATATAGAGTACTCACATGTACACCCAAGCAGCTGGATAAAGTGGCCTAAATGATAATATGCTGCTAGGCAATATTATCCACTCTTCATCATCCACCCTCTTTCATATGAGATCAAGGTGAGGTTTGAACTATGATAAAATTGTGTCCTACTTATACTATGCACACATGAACACTACTGCGCGGCTGCGCCTTATTTATTCTACTGAACTTCACACTCTGGCTGTTACATTCAACAGGGTTGGACCATGGTGAGACCATACAGTGTTGATACCAGAGATTGATTTGACATACTCATCTGAGTGCAGCAGAAAGGGCCAGATGCCAGATATGTGAGTAGTAATGAGAAAATCTAAAGAAGGCCACTTGCCTGACCTCACAACCAAATGCAGAAGTAGCAAGTGAATGAGATTTGACCAACATAAGTGAGTGACTTCCGCCTCAGGTGTGTCTGACAAGATACTTGTTTGTTTACACAACACTTAACAACAACCAAGCTCCTTCATCTCACACACTCGACGGGGTTTCCTTTTTCCTTCTCTTCCAACTATCACTGCTGACCTTGACGTTTTACCCAGAACCTTTGATCATGAATCTTCTGTCCTTACCCAACGAGATCCTGCTAGAGATAGCGAAGCATCTCCAGAATCAAGCTTGGCTTAACACGTTCACCCGCACCAACCGATTTATCTTCGGCGTCGTAAACCCATATATGCACCGCTACAACGCAGACTACCAGCAACACACCGCTCTTGCCTTTGGTGCTTGCCGTGGACTTGAAAATGTCGTCAGACGAGCACTGGCTGCAAAGCCAGGCGACATCAACGCAAAAATCGGCTCGACCGTACCGATCAGCGAGGAACCGTCCCACACTCCCCTTTGCTACGCACTAAGATATGAACAAATGCGAGTGATCGAGCTTCTACTCGACGAGTATGGTGCCGATATTGAACAGCACTGTTGCAAATCAATGACGCCGCTGACCTGGGTTGCACGTCTGGGAATGCCGGAACTGACCAAACTACTAGTTAGCAAAGGTGCGAACATCCATGCGGAGGACGGAGTTGGGCACATACCAATTCTTCATGCTGCTTTGTCGGGTAATGTGGAATGTATGGCGTTTCTTATCCAAGAAGGCGCTGATGTTTATCAGACCGCACCTGGTGCCGCCCCAGGCGAAGCATGGTCCTGCCTTCATTTCATGGTAATACGGGGGAAAATGGAGGGAGTCAAGCTCCTAGTGGAACACGGGGTCGATATAGACATGGTGTGGGTTCGAGGAATGACGCCCGTGAGAATAGCTCTGGAATTTGGCCACTTTGACATCGCCTCGTACTTGCTTGAGCACGGGGCTAAAGTTCCAGAAGATCAAGACTTCTTCGTTTCCTGCGCCACCCGAGGGTACGTCAAGGGCCTTAGATTGGCCTTGGATAAGGTTGTTTCAATAGACGACGAAGACTCGGAGGGCTATACAGCCCTCTTCGAAGCTGTGGCACACGGACATGTCGAGGCTGTCCGTGTGTTGTTGGATCGAGGCGCCAGTGTTATCATCGACAACGAGGGCTCTGCTATACCTATGGCCGCCGCACATGGCCACCGTCGAGTTTTGGAGATGCTTCTGGATCACGTTGATCAATCTGGCTGCGACCGGACGATGAGCCATGAAAATGCATTTCAGCTTGCGATGCGGCACAGAAACTGGGACTGCGCCAAGGAACTCTTAAACAAAGGTGCGGAAACGAACTCCAAGATCGATGATGAATTGCCCATATCATACGCGGCAAGGCTCGGTGAGGAAGAAATAGTGAGAGTTATCCTCACAAAAGGCCCTGACCAAATACGGCCTGGCGACGATCCCACTCTGCTGTTTTGGGTCGTCAAGAACTTGAGCATCGACTTGCTCAGGCAACTCCTCGAGCTTGGTCTTGACCCCAATGCATACTCGGAAGCCCTCCAGCAGGGTCTCCCGTCCATTCGGAATCGTTCGCGGAAAGGCTGGTTGCTGCCTCCTCTGGCATGCGCAATGAGCCTGCATTTTTACGACAAGGCGGAGCTTCTCATAGACCATGGAGCCGATCCACGACCCTTCCAGCGAGGACGGCAACACGTTACTTTGGTCAACGTTACTCGGTCGATCAAGTACACTTTCATCGCCAAGATGCTTGATCGGGGCTTTAATGTGAATGAGAAGAGTGATGCTGGCGAGACGCCTCTCTCAGTGGCTGTGACCGCTGGCAACGCGGAAGTCGCCGAGCTTCTCCTCTGTCACGGGGCAGAACCCAATATACGCATAGGGTCCTTTCCGTCTGTTCTATCATTGGCCATCGCAAAGGGACATGTTGAAGTAGCCGACGTTCTTCGGAAGCACGGTGCGAAGGAAACGTGCGAGGATATGGATGTTGATGACGAGGACTATCTGGCCGGTGTGGTCGAATTGCTGTCGTCTGCGTGATGTACCATTGCATCATATCTTTGTCCTGCCCTTGCTTGTTGTGAGACAGCAAGTGCATCAGAACACCTAAGCTCATGTATGTTTACAGATGTCATTGTCCACTTTGTGCAATCTCTAGAACTAGGATCTCATGCGGCAATCACTATCGGACTTGCCTTGATCCAGCACAATCAAGTCATGAGGAAGAGCCAACTGCGCGATAGAGCACAACTATGAAGATTATCCATTGTTACTCTCTTATTAGAGACTACATTAAGAATATAAAACGCTTCCTCGATAAAGGGTCTCTCAAATACTCCTCCAGCCTTGTCTTTAAAGCGAAATAGCGGCAATCTTTCCAGGCTCCTTGTAAGTCCCGCCCACCGGCGCCATCAAGCCCCCATTCGTGCCAACATACAACGTCTGTCCTTCTCTATCCAACGCACAGCATGTTGGCCCAGGCAGGACAGTCGAATTCTTGCCTCCAGCATAATTGACAATCTTGCCCTCAGGCGTATACTTGACAATCGTATTCTCCGGATTCGTCGCAAAGTACGCCGTCCCATCGTCCATAATATCAAAACTGTCCGGGTTGATCTCCGCCGTAATCAACTCGAACGGCCCGGCCGCATTCGCCATCTCGTCGATCTTCACCCGCCGATACTCCTTCTTCGTCACGCTCACATAGTGCAGATACTCCCCAACGACATGGATCCCATTGACCCCCATCGGCGGCGCATTCGGCGCAGGCAGCATCGACTCATCCTGCATTGCAACCGCATACTCCCCGGAATCCAGGTCCACCCGCCAGATCATCCCGTCGGGACTATCCGAAATAAGCAGGTACCGCGCCTCATCGCGGGGCCGGTACAGCGTACTCGCGCCCAGCGCCTTGGCCTCGGGGATGTCGACGATCTTGCTGACCGCGCTGGGGGTGTTCTTATTAAGGCTAAACTCCCCATCAGCCCACCAAGCCGGCACCTCGAGCACATCGTAGTTGCCGTCGTCGTTGAAGTCGAGTCTCCAGACGCCGAAGGAGCCCTGCTCGGCGGCGAAGCCCTCGAGTGCGAACTTGCCCGCTACGACGGCGAAGACGTCATGCTCGACTTCGGTGATGCCGAAGACGGCGGTGATGCCGCTGCTTTGCTTGGAGAAGGAGTAGGCTAGGGTCCCGGAGCCGGTTTTGGGGTCGACGGACCAGACTTCTGGGACGTCGATGCGGGTGAGGAGGAGGGTGCCGTCGGGCCGGACGACGACGTTGTCGACGAAGGAGCCGTTGTCTGGGAACTGGAAGACGTCGCGGACGGTTGGGCGGGTGGGTTGGTCGTCGCTGATGGCTTTGTGTGCGGTGGAGGGTGAGTTGGAGTTGGGGATCTGGAATGCGAGGGTGGATGTCGCGAGGGACGCGAGGGTGAGGCCGTGAGTGAGATGCATGATGGAAACGATGGAGAGTGCTGGCGATTGAAGCGGACGGAACAGAATTGCGACTGTGCAGGGTGTATTTAAGCGGCGTTGTAATCAAAACATTGGGTCGATCACTGCTCCATGGGAAAGCCCCTTGCATTCCAGACCGCAACGGGCAAACTGGGCAGACATTCCTCGGAGAAAATGATTGACATGATGACATCCACTCAAATTAGCCCCGCGGAAGTATGCATGGCACAGTGCTCACAGTGAGGTTTATGGAAGATAGCACACATTGCGGCATCAAACCTGACGCAAGGACTTGTATGTATCCCTGGCGTCAGTCTCCTGTCAAATGTGACCGGTCGATCAATACCGAAAGAAGTTGGCAGATAGAGTGCCTACGGACTAATTGCGGAACTTCGGGACGGGTAGACTTGAATATGTCCTTTATTATAGAATTATGTACTAAAATACAAGGATCCACAAAGCGGAGACACGAACAGAACACTCGCTTGACAGAAGCCCACCTGTCATAGACAACTAGCAAGAGGCGCCAGAAGGAACGTTCTTGCACGAGGTGCTCTTCTTGCCGCCAGTGACACTATTGCCAGACCACGTCCAGTTCGTGCAGCTGCCAGATCCACAGAGGATGTAAATATCAGTGGCGGAGCTGGTCACGGTACCGGTGACCTTCTCGAAGGTGATATCAGAGACCTGGACGCCGTTGGTGGGAGTGCCGGTGGGGCTGCCGTTCTCGTAGTCCTGCTCGACGATAATACCGTACTTGGTGATACCATTGAGGGTGATGTCCTGGAACTTGACGCCGGTGACGGAGCCAGTCGCACCGTAGACGGTCTTGATACGAGCGCCGTTCTGGGAGTTGATGACCTGGGAGTTGGAGATGGTGACGTCGCTGACGGTGTTGTCCGAGCGGCCGCCGACGGAGCCGATGGAGAGACCATGGCCACCATTGCAGTAGCCGTTGGTGAAGGTGATGTGCTCACCGGAGTTGATGGCCAGGCAGTCGTCCTGGTTGTAGACGGTGGCACCGTCAATGGTGATGTAGGTGCTGGAGCCGACGTCGAAAGCATCGGTGTTGTGGCCGAGCTTGGTACCGGCGGAGTTATCAATCAGGACGTCCTTGATGGTGAGGTTGTCGGACTGGATGCTGAAGCCCTGGACGGGGGTGTTGTAGACCTTCAGACCGGTGATGTTGGACTTGTTCAGCTTGTGGGCAGAGAAGAACTTGGGCTTCGTCTTGCCGCCGTTGCCTCCCTTGCCGTCCCACCAACGAGCACCATCACAGTCGATCTTAGCACCAGCGTTCTGCTTGACGGTAATACTGGTTCCGGACATGGAGATCAGGGGGCCGGCCCATTCCTTGTAGCCGAAGGTGGTGGTGCCATCGAAAATGACCTTTGTCAACACGTTAGTCGATGGCATTTAACATACCGATTACTAAAGACTTACGGTGGCACCAGTCTTCAGGCCAGTGAGGTCCAGAGTCTCACCGGCGGGCACGGCGATGTTGCTGAGGGTGATGGTAGAGCAGGAGGCCTTGCCGGACTGGGCCGCGGCCGCAGAGGTGAAGGTACAAGAGGCACGAGTCTCGAGATCAGCAGCAGGAGCAGCAGCGACCAGCGCAGCGCCCATGGTCGCGGCCACGAGGGAGGATTGGAAGAAATGCATGGTGAGAGAGCGGAAGTCGAGTGGTTGGAGGGTGTTTAGAAAGATCGGACAGGTTCTGGTCAACAGATACCCTAAAAGTGGTAGTTACAATAGAATACGAAAGACGAAAGGAGCGTGGATGAGGACAAACACGGATCCATGGTGAGGATGTCTGAAACTCTATATATGGTGTTGGTCTGGTGTACGGAGTACGGATATAGCAGATGACAGGGGCGTCCAGGCTTCCGTAGGGGCTCTGATAAAACGAGTCAGACCAAAGAGAAGTGCGCAACTCTGAAGGAACAACCTAAATTGCTGTCTGACCTGTACAGGGTCAGGAACCCCACCTGGTTGGGAATTGAATCGTGAGACCCCTATAGTTTTAGCAGTTAGCACGCTGGCACCAAAGAGGATTAGATTGTTTAATCTCTTCCTAAGCATATTAGGGACTGTTTTCGGCCCTGCGAGACGTTTGAGAATGTCTTAGTGCCTCGACCGATTGAGTATAGACAATATCCTTTTAGGGCTAACACAGGCTACTTTCAGCCGTGGACGCCACAAGTGTTGCAAGTAAACAGGCTGATCAACCATGTTCATTAAACCTCAATCAATTTTGGCTACGTATCCGTATCCATCCAGAATTCAGCCGGTCTTGCACCGCTACTCACGCTGCATGACGTTCAGGTCGAAATGGATGATACTGATAGGCGGATTATATTGATGCATTACTTCCGCTTGTTCCAGTTTGCGGCAGTCCTCCGTAGCCCCCCTGAATCCACAGGAAAAGCCCTAGATCTCTTAGCTTTCTTAGCTCTCTCTCCACATTGTAATTGGTCCCTTGTCATCGGGATGATGATATAATCTGAACCGAAAGCTCTGGAGAACGGAGTCCTCGGATCATTGAAGGCAATACGGAGTAGTTTCAGGGGCAATCTTCTGACTCCACTCATAATCATCTTCTCTTTAGAAACTTTTTTTTGATAGCCGTCTATATTTGACGACTGGTTTTGACATAGTAGGCGACAGACAAATCACAGAACTCCAACGAGTCCGCCGTATGCAGGGCTTCAGGGTCCGTAAACCGTCCAATCAAGACCATCATTCCTCTTAATTCGGGGTGGATGGAGCCGAAATACATTTCCCTTTCAGGATATGCGCATATTGCGCACTGCGTTTGACTGCCTAGACTTACGCAGGTCTCACTTCTTCTGCGCCCAAGCACTCTTCATAGCCTCAACACGTGGAAAATCTTGGCATGAGAGCCTATGACTTTGGAATATTTCCAACAGTCTGCAGTCCTCCCCGTATTTCTCCAGCTTTTGTCTGGACCTGCATGAGCAGGGTTATTAATGGTCAAATATGGGATCACACCGTCACAGTTGACTTCTGCGGTGATGCCTGAAGCTTCCAATATACTGCTTGTATCCCGACGATAATGGCCACGCTTACTCGCTAGCCAATCCACCAACTGTGGAACAATTTCAGAATTGAGGGTCAATGTGGGCACAGGCTTTCAAAGTCGATTCGAATATATGACTTGATGCTTTATAATATCAACACCAAATTAGGCAGCCGGATTCTGCGGGTTTTGGGCTGGCCGGAAACTCGGCAATTACCACGTCCTTCTCACGTTTAACAAATCCACTTCTCATTCTCCTTCCTCTCACAGTCACTGATTACTTCATCCACCATCGACTCCACCGCCATCTCACACCGGTGACAATTCGTAAACACCACGGCCGCGAACCCGACAATCTACTACAAGAGCATAATAGGCAGTGCATGGTACAGCTGGTCCTTCCAGCCGTATCTGCACGAGGACCTGGTACACCTTGTAGTATGGAAGCGCATACCTCAGCGGAAGAAGCCGGGTTCGACTCAAAGGGACTAATGGTGCTGGCGACGTCGATTATCCCCCATTATCCTGTCTGACAGAGGGTCGCGATGAAGGTACAAGTGATGGAGAGACACATCCAGAGCAGACCATTACTGGGAGGGCTTAGCGTTGTCAGGACGTGAAACTTAGCTGCGATGCTGTTCATTGACGAAGAACAGCTGCATGGTCAGTATCACCATAGGGGACAGTGTTGTACAAGACGCACGCGCCCTGCTCGGTGGTCTTCATGTTGATCTCCATAACTTATATGGCTTCGTTGTTGACAGTGGAGCTGACGCCGCAATGCTCGACGCATTGCGGGCATACTATGCCGACCCTTTCGTTCCCACCAGAGTAAGGATGTGGAGCAGCCTGAACTCTGTGCGAACGCTGGGCATCTAGCCCATTCCACGCCTAGGTGAGCATGTTTCCCATGTCCGTCCCACTTGCTAGAGCCGACGACAAATTCTCGGCGCATGAGGTAGTGGATGTGGGTTGTATCCTGTTACTGAGTCGCATAAGAGATGACATGTTTCCGAGGTATTAAAGCTGTGGCCCTGTGGGAGAAGAAATCCATGGATATAGGACCAGACCAATCAGAGAGGTGGACTTGTATGGCTCAGCGGAATTACGCATTGTTGGCGATTGGGCAGTTAACAGTTTCAACACCCCCGACCTCCGACTTTGTATAGCATCATCGGCTGTGTTTACTCCTGTCAGGGATACGAGGGAATAAAGTCCATCTTTGAGAAGTTAAGTAATCCTTGCCGCCATTTTGACGATCAGAGTGTTTATGGTAGTTCCAAACCCACTGCCGTTGCAGGGTCTATTAGGGACGTATATTCTGGGCCTCTCTATCTCGATTCACCGAACCGACAATATATAGTCCAGGGTTGCAGAGTCTATGATGATGATGATAAGACTAATCTAGATGGCTGGCGAATCAATCCCAAATTCATAATTGCTCAACCCCCAGCCCGCAGACCACAGTAATGTTGCATCGCTCTATAAGCCTCACTACCTCTTCCTTATCATGCCATGCATCATTATATGCCGCACTCAGAGTCAACACCCCCTTCCAAGTCCCTAGGAACAGGCCGAGACCCGTCCCCAGTTCCTCACCGGTCACCCAAGGGCTATCCAGCTCGAATGCCCCATGCGAAGGGCTGATCACCTTGTCCACCACACCCAAGCTGGAGATTGAAACCGACGGCGACTGATTCGGTTCTGGGACTGGTGGCGTGGCGTCGTCGTGTGGGTAGGGAATAGTGTTGCTGGCGTACCACAAGGGTATCATCTGGATGTGATCCTTGTCCTTCCGGATTCCGTCATAGAACTCCCTGACAGTCTTGGCGACCCTTGAGAACTCCTCTCTGCTCACCTCTGTCGGAGTCGAGCCGTCAGTTATACTCGGAACTTTGGTATCAACAATGAGCAGCCTGCATGAAACAGAGTGGTAGACCGCTGCTGCATGGAGAGGAGTATCGTACGGGCTCAAGCAATGTCCGCGCTCGTTGATCAGGCTGTAATTGATGTATCTGACTAGGCGTTCGCTATCGCGCCGTTCCTGAAGATCTCGCACCGCCATCGCAACCGCTGCATGGTACGCATGCGTCACACTCAGACCTAGCCGGCGACAGGCGCTGAGGATGGCTGTGGTTTGCTGAGCGGGAAGAGTGACGGCAACCCTCTGATGTTTTCCAGGGAGGTGTTCTCCCCTCTTAAATGGAACACTGGCAACCTCTATACGATCCTGCTTCATAAACGCGTTGTATGCCATGATCGACTCGAATCTTTCCCTCTGCTCGGGGGACATGCTGGGCTGCAGCGCCGCAGCTACAAGGAACGGGGGACTCAGGTTTGCGTATTCCGTACCAAAACACGGGAGAGGATAATCCGACCCTCGTTCATAGGCTCTGGCCGCGTGGTTAAAGAAATTATCGAATAACATCAGTGTCCCAACGCCGTCGATAATGTCGTGATGAGCGCGGAGCACAAGATCACCCTGGAGTAAGCCTTTAACGCGAAGAGATGACCATATCAGAAAGAGAGTCGGTAGCTTCGGCACCGGAGGATCCGAATTGCACCATTCAAACCCGGAAATGGCGTCTGACACGATGAGAAAGGTGGATTCTAGCCACGACTGAACGGCATCTTGGCCGGTGGGAGATTCGTATATCTTTCTGCAGCGCTTGCGCTCGGTGTCCCATTCCACCCACGACGCAATGGTCGGGTGGTCGAAACGCAGATGCACCCATGCCTTGCGCAGGGCATCTTTAACCCTTCCTCTTGTCTCCTCTTGGGAAACACCGTCGTCCGCCCTGACAGAGAAGGAGACGAAGCCCGTGATGGCGAAGAAGGTGCGCCCGCTGCCTTGGTATGATTTCGCCAGGGAGGTGTAGAACTGTTCAACCTCGTCGATGCCACGCTCCCATCGACCGGGCCTTACCTGTTGCCATTGAAGATCTGTCTGCTTGGACATTGCGATGCGGAGCGTAATTACAATGTATAGCACTAATTGACAGGGCACGTCAAAATGCTGGATCTGGTCCCCATATAATAAATATATGGACAGATCTGAGTAGAATACTCGGGAAACGGTCCGAAATACCGCCCAGCGAGTCAGGCAAGGAGGAGTAGTCAGTGTTGACGTGCAACGAGGCATCTCGTGCGTTATTATCGTGTCGGGATAACCTCGGCGGTTTGGCCACTTTCCCAATCGGGTAAAACATCCAGCAGACAATGGCACGGTAGCATGGCACAGCATAAGCATTTGTCATTTCCATGATCATCATCTCATATACTAAGATGCTATTCTGCCAGAAAGATCTGGTAGCATGCATACCGGAATAGAAGTATGTTTACTTCGTTTAAAGTCGCGGGTTTATGCATTACTTCAACTAAGACCACGATAACTCCTACTTGACCAATCTGCATGAGATATGATCGCACAGTCAGTGAAAAAGTACGTGCTGAAGTGACTGCATGTTAGAGCCTAGAGACATGTATACCAGCACAATAACAACATCGAAAGCACACAGCCCATTGACATCTCCACCCTCATAAATAAGATACGATCAATGCCCACGCAAAGTAACCATACTCTCAGTCAACGCCCCCGCCAGGATAATCTCCAGCAACGTCTCCTCCACCCCCTCCGCAACCCTAACCTCTGGATAGCGACTCATGAACAGCCCAGCCCAGAACGGCATGATCTCACTCGCGAGAGCAGGCTTGACAGTCTCAAACTCCGTCACCGTGGATTTCCGCTTCTCCACCGTTCTCGACGAGGAGTATTCATAAAGCCCGGTCTGCAGCCCCTCTTTCAACCAGACATACTTCCTCCCCTTGAACTCGAATTTCCGAGGTCGCCAGTACCCCGTTACCGGCACTTCGGTGACCACAGCGCCTGATGATAACCGGTGGGTTAGAGGCCTGCCGGTTATCGAGTCTATGTCTGAGTTACCGGGGGTAATAGGCGAGATGAATGTCTGGACACATGTGTGTTGGGGAAGTGACTCCCGGCGAAGAGTTGTGCTCGCGATCTGGGATTTGTCGGGCTTGATGCCCTGCATTATATACTTGGTCTCGTTGGTCGCTGGGTCCTTGACCTCGAAGGTGATGGTGTTCTCTTTCTTTTCTCCATTTCGGGAGCTGCTGGCATAGCAGTAGAAGGTTCTGGGTTGTTGGGAAATAGTAGGACTGGCCATTATGTTTGTCATGGGAAAAGCGTGGATGAACAGATTTATTTTCAGGAATATGAGGTTATTGTCAGCTGAAGATACGCCAAGCTTGGATACGAGTCTGACCGTCTGACGCCTGAAAACGTGGTAACCTCGGAAGAATGGATTGGTGGAGAATACGATGTGCACAACAACATTTACATGTAGAGAAGCTATAGACTATAGTCAAAGAGAATCGAAAATTAAATACATAAGTTCAAGTAGAAGACGGAGAAAAAGAAGAAATAAAGTGTCCACGTTCAGCATGCTCTTCGTTTAATTACGAGCATCCGCATCTCCATCTTTATCCCAGCTACAGACACTGAGAATAGTACGCGTTCTGCACCGTGCAGGTGTAAGGCGAGGCGCAAGTAGTCGGGCCAGTCCAGCCCTGGCCACCACATTGGCCATAGTGCTGCGCCACGGCAGTCGAGGTGCTCGTCGCAGTAGTGGTGGTCTTGGTCGAGGTGGTCGACGTCTTAGTAGACGTCGAAGTCGAGCCGGAGCTTCCCGAGCTAGAACCGCCGCTGAAGGTCGATCCGATCGGACCAACTTTGATGTTCGAATAGATCACATACGAATTAGGACTCGCGGATTCAATAGTGGCGGGGACGCCGGAGTCGGTCGAGCAGGAGCCACGGACAGCGCCTGGGGTCGATGAAGACGCATTGGTGGGATAGGTGCTGTCGAGCCAGAGCATATCCGCGTAGTAGTCGTCCCAGAGCGACATGACCAGTACCATGCCGGTGGACATGGCCTCGGACATGGCGGACAGGCCTCCGTGCTTAGCAAAGGTACCCGGTCCGTCAAAGACAGTGTTCTCGGCAGTGCAGTAGTCGGCGTTGATGGCGTTGCCGGTAATACCGCTGATGTCCGAGTTGGGCTGGGCGTAGGTGACGCCGTTCTGGACGTAGTAGCGGCGGATTTCAGACAAGGTGCCGGTATCGGTGCCGTCATCCGTGATGAACTGCGTCACGACGGTGAAGGGCGAGTTGGTATTGATTGTCTTGCCGGGACCGTAGAACGTGGTATTGCCCATGCGGTAGGGATTGAAGTCGCAGCCATCTGGGTCGCAGGTGCCGGCATACCGATCACTGCTGTATGTGCCACCGCAGGCATCACCAGTGCACATGGTTTCAGTGGCGGTATCACATGGATGGGGGGTCAGAGCCTGAGAGATGCTGTTGGATTCCCAGATGTCCAGTTCGGCACAGCAAGATCCATGGTTGCCCAATCCGGTGTTCTTGTTGTTGGACGACGGAGTCCAGCCTTCCACGTTGGCCTGGCCTTGGATGAACTTGAGATCGCGGGGACATTGAGAATCACATTATCCCACTCCGTATTGGGCCCCGGCCTTGTTGTTGGCGTATTTGGAGACACCGCCATCCTCATCCATGGTCACAAAGTAGAGGGCTCCGTTCAAGCCACAGGGGAGGTTGGACACGTCCACGTCAAAGGTGAACTCCTGGTTGAGTAGCTTAAACATCTCGTAGTGTGTGTTATCAGCCAGCATGTAAAGACGGGAGCCAACATTGGCGCCATTTGAGTTCTCCGTCACAAAGTTGAGGCGCAGCTGGCTGCCGCTGGTGGTGACTTCGTAGGTTGATTCATAGTCGGCTCCGTCAACGGCACATTCAGTGGCGCAGGTCGCGTCGGTACTGCAGATAGATGTATCCCACGTATTGCCGGTATAGCAGTTGGTGGTGCTGCCAACCTGGTGGACCCATCGCCAGTTTGCATTCATAACGACAGAGCCCTGGTTTGTGGTACAACTTCCACCGCTGGTGCAGGTCTGCCATGTCATCGAGGGATGGGTCTCAGTGGTGTATGTGCCGATCTGCTGCGCCTGCGTAAAGACGACAGGAAGGCAGACAGGATCAATGCGTTCCTGTAGATTCGGTAAGAAATTGCGGACGCCATTTTGATGGTTTGATGCTCTTTGGACACAGTGAGATGATAGACATGTCTGTGCAAGCTCCGGGCTGCCCTTTTATATCTTCATTCGTTCCCTGCGGATGCCCAAGGATGGTAAGAGCATCTATTGAGACGGTTAACAGGACCGCGAACCTGGTGAAAACACAGGCTGTAATCGCTGCTCCTGATGCTATCACCGCGATGGATGCGGTTAGATGTTTATACTTCTCTATCTGCACAAAAAAAAAGCATATTGTCCTCTCGCCTGCCGATCACTTCATGTAACGGGACTCACTGCACACCTGCCCTTGTCGTATCCGTGACTAAGGCTCACCCTCACCGCGAGCCACACCGTAATCGTCAACCACAGCGTAATCGTCATGTACCTTTTATATGGTATCACCATATAAAAGGTACATACTCCCTAAGTCTAATATCTAGACTATTTACTAGGGGCGACTATATTTTAGATAGTAATATTAAAATTTTCAGAGGAAACATCTTATAATTAAAAGTCTTTTAGGAGTTTTACTAAAAAAAATTAGAGATATAAGAATGTATAAAATTTCCCTTAGAAAACTCTTTCTTAGGGAAAAGGATAAAGATAAATTATTTTATCTTACCACTATAATTTTCCTTTCTAATAATAAAGATAGTAATAGAAGATAGACATTTATATATCTAATTAATGATCTACTTTAAAAACTAAATGTGTGTACATACCTAGATTAAAAAATCTATATGTACCATTTATATGGTAATGCCATATAAAAGGTACATGACGATTACGCTGTGGTTGACGATTATGGTGTGGGTGTGCTGCAAAGACGGATAACAGGCAAGTGACGGGAATCCGGAGCGATATCCTGGGGTAATTCTTCACAGCCTAAATAGTCTCGATCAGAAAGGGATGCAATTTGGCAAGGCGGCGCCATGATTCGTGCAAAAACAGGCGACATCGTCCAGGAATCTGTTGGCCAATATTTGGGGTGCCTCGTTACGCCTCTCAATTTGCTAGAATCATGTCCGAATCCTCCTTCGAGGGTGCATATCTGCAGGTGTACTCCCGCACCTGAAAGGGATTCGAGTAGTAGGACACAATTTTCCCAGGTGACTGCGCTGAATCAATCTGCGCGCTAAGACTCGTACGTCTGGGGAAGAATAGATTAAGCTGATATTGCTTTCTGCATGGATGACGCGGCCCCCTGCCAGAGGGAATGCGCGGATGTGGACTATGATATTAACCCTGCAAGCAAAAGGATCATCGATTGGACCAGCTCAAGTTCGCCAAGCCAAGCCAACTTAAACCCGAGACCAAGATTGCTTGATCCTGCCGGCAATTAGCGATTACGAACCCGAGATGATTTCCCCGTACAGATGCGATACTCCATGCACTCCGTAGTCATATGGGGAGTAATGTGATCAAGATTTATGTGAAACATTGTGAAACATTTTATGGAACTAATAATATGTGAAGAACTCTCTTGCTCCTCATTTCCAGAAGTCCCACGGGCTGTGGGCCGTTGTCTTGAAGAACACCTTGCTGACCTGCCGTTCCCCCTATTCATCTGTTCTGGATTCAGCCACAATGAGACGAAATTAGATCGTAAGAATCCCTCAGCCTCGCGTTTAGCAGATAATAGCCAAGAAAGTTTGACTATGTCTCCGTGCCGAAACGGGACAGGAATACTTGCTGGAGCCTGGACCCGACCTTTTCGTATCTGTCCAGATGGTTCAATCATCCCATATAAATGAATACCTCTCTCCAGATTAAAACTCAACTCCTAGAGCAGATTCCCAAAGTCAAGTTCCACAATGAAGTTTACACAGCTCCTCACCGCTGCCAGCACAGCAGTCCTTGCTCTTGCTGCACCGGACCCCAAGTCCAAACCCAAGAAAACCTCGGCCTTCCAATGTAAGAGACCCATGTGCATGACCAGCTCATCCACTGACTTCCCCAGGGTTTGGCGCCAATGAATCCGGAGCAGAGTTTGGAAGCAACCTTCCTGGCGTGCTGGGCACCGATTACATCTGGCCCAACACGACTGCCATTGGCATCTTGAGGAAAGCAGGGATGAATATCTTCCGTGTGCCATTTGCCATGGAGCGTCTCATTCCCAACACCATGACTGGAACCCCTGATGCAACGTACATGGCTGATCTGGTTTCGGTATGTCATGCTCTAAGGGTATGGCCTTTTGCTAACGGCATCTAGACCATCAATTATATTACGTCCACCGGTGCCCACGCCATCGTCGACCCTCATAACTTTGGCCGATAGTAAGTCTCCCCCTGAAATCAAGAAATCCACTAATAGAACCAGCTACGGCAACATCATCACCTCAACCAGCGATTTTGCCGCCTTCTGGACCACCGTCGCCACGAAATTCAAGGACAACGACCTCGTCATCTTCGACACCAGTAAGGCTACCACCTTCCCTTCTTCAACAGTGCAGCTAACACACCCAGACAACGAGTTCAACACCGAAGACCAAACCAACGTCTTAAACCTCAACCAAGCCGCCATCAACGCCATCCGCGCCGCAGGCGCCACGTCCCAGTACATCTTCGTCGAAGGCAACTCCTGGTCCGGCGCCTGGACCTGGGAATCCGTCAACGACAACCTGAAAGCCCTGACCGACCCCGTCGCCGACAAACTCATCTACGAAATGCACCAGTACCTCGACAGCGACGGCTCGGGCTCCTCGTCCACATGCGTCTCCTCGACAATCGGGCAGGAACGCATCGCCTCCGCGACGGCCTGGCTGATCGCGAACAACAAGAAAGCGTTCCTGGGCGAGTTCGCCGCTGGCTCGGACACTGTCTGCCAGAGTGCTGTGACCGGGATGCTGGATTACATGGAGGCGCATGCGGATGTCTGGCTTGGGGCGGAGTGGTGGGCTGCTGGGCCCTGGTGGGGGAATAATATCTATAGTATGGAGCCGCCGACTGGGCCGGCGTATGAGTATTACATGCCGGTTTTGGAGCCCTATTTCCCGGGTGGGAGTTATACGGCGACGTCGACGGGGACGGAGACTGCTACGACCACGACCGAGACCACGACCGAGACCACGGCAGTCGGCGTCTCCCATTGGGGACAATGCGGTGGTCAGGGCTGGACGGGGCTGACGACCTGTGTGTCGCCGTATACGTGCCAGGTGCTGAACACCTATTATTCGCAGTGTCTGTAGGTGATTGTTGGTATGATTTCGAAGGGGAGATAGCTGTTGATAACGGAAAGCTGGGTTGCGGTGAATCAACTCAGATCTGTGCTTACAGGATGAAAGCTTAATACCAGTGAATTGTAGTTCAGTGTTTTTCGTCCAGTGTGTCCAAGCCAACAATGACTAAGCTACTCTAAAGATGGACTTATTATTAGACCTGAGCTTCAATCGTGATCATCATAGATCGTCGCTGGGAGTGTGGAATACTCCAAACATATCCTAATTGGCCATGATTCTATCCAGATGTGAATACCCTTGACTCTACAATCACTGCGCACCTTGTCGACATATTGAATTGTTGCGGGGAACAATAACACTTCCAACCATACTTCAAATTGCTTGGAAGGCCTTGTTTCCTATTTCCTCACTTTGAAACTGTTCCACTTCATTGCTACGCTCCAAGTGGTAGGTGACACGAAGCGGGGCTGCTCCGAAACCTCCAAATATGGCATCGGTTTACAGGCAGCAATCTTGCCATGATGCCGGCAGATTGTATCTGCCAAGAAGAGAGCGAATGCGCTGGTCGGACTATCGCCGGCAAGAGGCGCTAGAATTCCGGCTTTCAGGCGGTGCATTGAAAATGTGTCCTGTGCGTCGTCCATGGTTCGCAAACCGACTGGCCCAAGCAAGGGAATACCAGACTCCTAAGATTGATCTTCGTCGGCGTGAAGCGCACAGTTCGATTAATCAACATCGGGTGTATCGGAGTCTGCATGTCCCTTGAGTCGACCMGAACGAAGGGCCGATGGCCTTTCGGTCACGCTTGGTATCCTGGCTTTCAATGACACTTAGCCTCCTATGGAGCTGATGGTCTGAATACTAATGTGCAGGAGGCAGTCATGTTCTGATCGCGAGCAAACCCATCGACAATGCAAGCTGGTCCAGCCGATCTGGGGAGTCATCTTCATCATGTGCATCGTATGCATTCAGTTGCTTCTCTTGCGACTCGGACGAGGTCATGCTTCCTGCTGGTAGCTTCCATATAGTACTCGAACAATGCGACTTTGCATCCAAGGATGAACGGTTTTTATCGGCTTCTAGCAGAACCAACAGCTGGTTGAGTACTGCAATGGCAGATTGCGTGCCTCGGGACGCGAATTTCGCTACTTTTCTGGCAAATTCGGTAGGAATAGGACTTTTCGCGTCTTCCTCCCATTTGATCACCTTCTTTTTATCATATTTGACGCTCAATGGCCCCATTTGCCCTTCCAGTTCGACGAGTCTATCCCGACAACGAGTGATCTGAGCCACCAGCGACTCTCGCAGTATCTCCGACTTAAACCCAGTCTGCGAAATAAAGTCACGCGACTGCGCAAAGAGCCCCGGACAGAGTACAATCTCGTTGAAGGCGAGTTCCACGGTCTCACTCAGCTGACAGCTTTTCCCAGCGCTGCGTTCGAATGCCAGTGCGTCGTGGACTATGGCTCGCCATTCAGGTTCCTCCAGAAAGCACGGCTCCTGGGAGACGAGCGCATCAGCGACCAGAAACGAGCGATACGCCACCAGCAGTGTGCGACCGAATCCATCGCGGTGCGCCTCGGGACCACGAAGTCGGAATAGTTTGCCAATTCCCCGGGAATGAATGAGCCAGGATTTCTCGCCGAGCCCGTCCAGCATTTCGTATATCCCCAGGTGGATAGCAGCCATGAGGGTCCAGTTTGAGGTGGCGGTGCGGGGGTTGCGTAGTGAGCAGATCAAGTGCTGTAGACCGCGGCCGTAGAGGTGCCGGCTGGCCGAGATCTTCTCCTGGTCGTTATGCGCGCGACCGAGGTGCCATACACTCAGACTGCGGAGACTCCAGATCAGGGCCTGCGACGAGGTGTCGAGGTGATGTCGAACGAAGTCTAGCCAGTTGAGCTGGACTCTGTTCCGCCATGCGGAGAACAGGCCTGGAAAGGAGACCATGACGAAGTACTGGAATACTTCCTTCATCTGGGTGTCTGTTGCTGTGGATGCCAGGCCGGGCGCTAGTTTCCCATCCATGCTCGCCCGAGGCATGAGCGCATGGACAGCCGATGACGCAGCGACATGTCGACTGTCTTTCTGCTCGCGACTTCTAATAGATGCCGGAGTCTGGTGGTAGAATTTCACTCGGCGCTGATAGCCAGGACACTTGACGTTTCTGTCGCGACAGCGACGACATTCCGGCCGGCCCTCATCACACTATAGGGCTTGAGCATTAGATATTATGACGTTATTTATTGCAGCTGCCCAGTCCATGCAGCTAAGGTAGGAAACCCACCTTGATCCGCCGCTGGATGCAGGTGTGACAGCCAGTGCTTCGCGGTACCCCAACCATCTGTTATGACTCCTGGGCGGTATCAAGTTATATAGGCATCACTGAAAGAGCCTCTATGAACTGACTCAAGACAGCTGAGGGTGCGGAGTGATTCCGTGATGGTGAACGTGGTCAGATTGAGGAGGCCACAAGGGGAGAATATGAGGCGCTAAGCTTCTGTGTCCCGTCACTCCCGTGTCCGGCTTGTCGACAGTCGAACCAGACGAGGAGAACGACTGATGAGGTCTAGATGCCAAGCATCATACCCCGCCTTACAGACAATCAATAAACAATCGCTGTTAGCTGGCATGGTGGCGGTGCTGTACGCCTACATGCGAGGAGATATTTTCCGGACTCTCCCCATTTGAAATGCAGTTAGACCGCATGAACATAGTCCAGTTGAGAGCACGTGTATGAGCATAAGGTAGGTAAGCAGTTGATATGTAGGTTCGTGGATGAGGATGCCTTAATCCCTGCCAGTCAAGTGCTTGCAGAGGTCGAGATTGTTCCTTGTCCATCCCGTCGATAGGATTTGTCGATAAGAAGCCCACACGAACTATTGATATTCGACGAGGTATTCTTGAGATGATTGACGGTATCCAGAGGATGCGAAAGCATCTGTTTTGTGTACAGTACATTTGTCGCACTGTTTTAGAGGGGAAATGCCATGGACCACTTCCCTTCCCCAGCTGCGCCAAAGGCAACCAGATTTTCCCGTTCAATGTCATCGCGTATCAACCGCATCCGCCACGTAGATAGCTAAGAATTTTCGCCCATTTCCCGTTCTCTTGTAAGTTCGGAGCCCCCCGCAATGCTGACAGGAAATCCTGTGCCTAACGCAACAAAAGTACGGAGTACAAAACGCAGGAATCTTGAATTTGAGAGAGATGAGCGAATTGTTGGATAGATTTACTGCACGTATCCCGAAAGGCACGTAGGAGGTGCCAATTACACACGGGCTGATACTCCACAAACGGCGCACACGGGAACATCCGGCGTTCCCGTCCTTTTGCTTCTCAACTCATTCTTGATAGACTTTGGTAGTCAGGCTCGGTCCCACTTGCCTTGTGACCATTTCAGTCAAATTGACGATGTTAATGTTGCATGCGGCCTTGGATGTTCGAGACGGCTAGGAGATTATGGACTGACTCTAGGCAACCGGGCTGATCAACCGCAATCAAAGCGGGCCAGACCAGTTTCATTTTCAAATATGAACAATTGTACCTCTCTACGGAGCAGCAATTATTGATATCGAGTGCACATACAAAGAGCCGAGCGAAAGCGGGTGGAACAGATGACGTGGCAATGGATGGGCCGCCGCCCAGAGGATTCGGAGGAGTGTAAACATTCCGTTAGCTGAGTGGTATTTGGTAGAGAGAACCTGGAAGGATTGGAGATGGGTACGGAATCATGTTCCGTTATCAGCTAACACCCGAATGGCCAGATGAGAATGAGATTACAGGCAGGAGATGCGAGCATTGAAATGATGATTACTCTCTTTTGTCTTGATAGTTGGATGCGCTTCATCTAGTTTAAGAAATATCCACGGTGCGGCCGGGTATTGTGTGCCACGTGATTCTATTTACGTACTATTACAGTACGGGACGGAATGTCTCAGGTAAAAAGGAGCCATAGTGGGTGAATACTGTAAGTTTGTGTATGAGTATTATATTGTACTTTACGGGTGCTTTGGTACGGAGCGGAAAGGCATCCATCGTAGTACCATCGGATATTCGATAATGGCCAGACGTTCGATAAACTTCAATATCACTGTGATCACTGATATCAATGGCCAGTCTAGAGGGGTATACTTTCAATCCAAGCCGAGTTACTCGACAGTGACACAGTCACACAAGTCAAAAGAACATCCATGTACTCCGTACTACTATCCACTCAGTCCATACCCACATTAGTACCGCCAGTCCTTCTCCACCCTCGCCGCATCCAACAAGTCAGAAGGCACCGTGATTCTTCAGGACGGGCATTGTAAATGAACCGCGTGTCTGAGTGGCTCTCAGAGGCCTTAACCTTCCCCATCTAGACCTACATCCGATGCCCCGCGGGTGCACTTCAACGCTTGTGGACCGCACTAACGGAGTCTAGCAGCCGCCATCCTTGAATGAACGCTGTGCGTCTCCTATTATGGATAACAATGGCCTCGATCGACCTTGCGGGCTTGTAACCTTGTCCTACCTACCAAGGCTACTAGAGAGTCGGTCGGCGACTCGGGATCTGTCTCAGATATGCACAAAGTACGTTGCATAAGTTCGGTTTTTTGCAGGGGTGCTGCAAAGTGAGCATTCCATCTCTGGAAAATAATAAAGACAATAAGTCGGAGAACATAGCAGTGGATGATGATAATGCATCTTTTTTCTGTATGAGAAAGTCTAGACTCTAGGTCGAACTGAGTGGCAGGTAATCTGTACGGAGATAGGCGAATGAAGGCTGCACGAGCGGCAGACAGTCCAGGTACTTAAAGAGATTGAGAAATGCACAGCAGTTTGACAAGTCACAGTATTATTATTCTTTCTTGAAAATCATCATTATTATTATTATTATTCTCCATCTTCCTGCGAACTGGACTAAAACGCTACTTTTTTAAGTGTCTTCCTAAGTCTTGTTCTTTTCTGGTTCTTCCCCATACCGACCAGGAAATCTTATTTTTGCCCTTTGCCTTTTCCATTTGTTCTCGACAATCCCTCGGATCTTCCTCCACTCTCCCACCACCTCCATCGTCGCCATCACCATCACCATCATGGCCAGTCCAATTCCACAGTCGCATCCACATCCACACCAGCAGAGTCCAGGTGTCATCGAGCCCGATGTTGGTTGCCTCATCACAAGCTATACCTCTGCCTTGCAATTAACGGATGAGTAGGACTTTGATGCCGACTCCGCCTACCATGGCTCGTCTGTCGCCTCTGTCGCACGCCTCCGGTTCCCCGACTAACATCACTACAGGCTTGGAGACGCCAGCTACACCACCAGTATTACATCGAGTGCCATGAACTACACGTATGCATTGATCTCTGCCCCTGTTTTCACTTTGCAGCCACTAATCTAGCCGAAACAGCTACGAGGTACCGCCTCTGCTGTGTTTGTCGCAGGCAATCTACTAAACCCCCATCAGAACGGTCGCAGATATCATTCTTTCCACGAGGGTGAATACGTGCTGGTATATACCCTTCCCTAATGCGATGGTTCTCATAATGCGCGAAGCTGACCGCTTAGCCCAATGACGAGCAAGAACAAGACCGCCTGGACCTGGTTAGTGCCGACTCGACTCTGCCCCTTGACCGGGGTCCGTCCTTAGCTAATCGACCACCTCTCCACTAGAGCCACCACATCTATCGCATCCTCCTCAAAGGTGAACTGCATGCCGCGCCGATCAAGAACCCCCGACGAGTGTTGGATATCGGGACCGGTACTGGAATATGGGCGATTGATTTTGCGGAGTGAGAACTCCTTCAATCATTTGCGATGGACGCAATCAACTAATGTGATGCGACAGCGAGCATCCCGAGTCAGAGGTCATCGGTATGTGTCGGACTGCAGGAGCGCGGATTGCAAGATGACTAACAGAGTGGCTGCTATCAGGAAACGATCTCAGTCCTATCCAACCCTCATGGTACACCTTCCTTGATCTGTCAGGTCGGACAGCGCGTTAATTTCCCCAGGATCCCTCCCAATTGCCGCTTCGAGATCGACGACTTCGAATTACCCTGGTCCTACAGCCAACCGTTCGATTACATCCACGGCCGCGAACTCGAAGGAGCCATACGCCACCATGACAAGCTCTTCAGACAAGCATATGAGAACCTGAGGCCAGGCGGCTGGCTAGAAATGGCCTCCATGGACGTCAACTCGTATTCCGACGACGGCACCCACCTCAAGGCCGTTAACTTGCTCGACGGGGTCAAGAACATGCATCTGGCATCGAAGAAGCACGGAAAAGACATGGCAACGGCGGCCACATGGAAGGAGAAGATGGAGAAGGCAGGCTTTATTAACGTCCGCGAGGACGTCTACAAGGTACTACTCATCTTGGACGTTGCTAGCCAAAACCATACTGACGGCCTTGCAGCTCCCCCAGAGCCCCTGGCCGAAGGACCCGAAGCTCAAGGAACTCGGTCGCTACCACCAAGTCAACATGTTCGAAGCCGTCGGGCCCTACTGCTTCGCCCTGTTTACACGGTATCTCGGCTGGTCGCGCCCCGAGATCGAGGTCCTCGTCGCAGGTATGCGCAAGGAACTGCGCGATTACCAGACCTACCATCTCTACACCAAGGTACGTATCATTTACGGCCAGCGGCCGGAGACGGATTGATCTGATGCGGGCATGATTTATACGTTCCGTTGGCGGATGCTTGATGACCCTTTACTCTCGGATTACTTTTGATCGTCTGTGCTGTTGAGCATGTTAATCTGATTCCCACACTTTTGTTCATAGCCATGACAGCGTATTACTAAATAATTGAAACGACCTACATTTATGACGATGATCATTCCCGGCAGTGCATTATCTTCAATAAGCATGATCCCAGAGTGCTTTAGGGTCTGCGTGTCAAAATTGAGACAGCTTGCCAGTATCATTCCACCAATTGACGATGCTGGCGATATGTGCTATCGCTGTCTCGGTAGATTGCGGGATACTTCGCCTTCACATGGTCATGCCGATAAGCCATGAGCCAGCTTCATTGAAAGAAGTCAGATCATGTTGCAGTATCAGTGGCAGATACTGAACTGCTAGCCCCAGCGAAGGGTGCCGCCGTTTCCATGTGTATCCAAGAGTACTGCTTCCTTGCAGCGGCATAGACAATTCATAATTATGACTCGGGTACCTCTTCGAACAACCCGTCCATGACTGATGGGATATCTAGGACCTACGCCAGCTCTGTAAATTCTTTGATTTTCGAAATCATTCGAACGATGTCGTTGAAATTGCTTGGGCAGAGAGTGGTGAAACTTTGGTGGAACCTCCATCTCCAGACGATCCACATGACATGATGTATTTGTAAACGCCGTCTCAGGCGTCATTCTCAAGCTCTGCCTCTTCTCTAGCCTTGAACTCAGCGATTTCCCGCTCGTCCAGGTTGGCGATGAGCTCAATCACATCGGCATGCCCATCCGCACTACTTGTTGCGTAAAATAACAAAGCCTGGAAGTATATCTCCGGATCGTTAACCCTGTATCCCAGGGCATCTTCCTTGATTACCTCGAGCACAGTCATATTATTCGACCCGGCGACGATCCCGGTTTCCCCATCCACCTCGCCATACATATGGTAGCGTGCCCATACCGCGTCGCCCCATCGGGTATCACGTATGGCATCCACATATATGCTCGTCCACGGCTCCGAGAACGTTTCGCCCGGGCTGGGGTGGAGAACTTCTTGGATAGGAAGATCCAGGAATAGCTGCTCAACTGGCCTGGTCTCCGAAATATTTAGGCCCATGATGGCTTTTATTTCACTTTGTTAGCCAGAGGGTTTGACAACAGGATGACTAGGAAATCGCGGCGGGATCATTCTTTTCATACCGCTAGAATTCTTAGTTGAAGAACGAGAGGCTTGGTAGATGGCAATCAGCGAAGATAAAAGGGATCCAAGAAATGAGAAGTCTGGAAAGCCAAGTAGTCTAGGGAGTGACTGAGAATCGCAGAGGCGGAGCATAGTACGCGTCTCTCGATTTAGTGCTGCAGTGCATTTGATATAGTTAATGCAGGCCTTGCTTATTTAGCGACCCCATTACTTACTGTACTAGTTTCCGAAAGAGGTAATATGTGTCAAGATATGGGTGATGAGAAACTGAGGAGGCGAGCGAGTCAAAGAGCGTGATTGATGTGATTTCACCTGTAGAGATAACCAGAAAGTCCTTCAGAAGAAGATTACAAAAGATGGATAGCAAAACCAGAGAGTATATTTCAACAGAGTGCAGGGCGAAAGAACCACAGGTTCTTTTTTGGTAACTGAAACGAAAGAATCCAGTGGTTTTAATATCTACTACGTCCTATTCCATATCCATCTCGTTTTCCTTGGATCTCAAAACCAAGGCACCAGTCTTGCCCTCCTTCTCCTCCTTCTCCTTGATGGTCTTGAGGAGAAAAGAATCCAGTAGATTTAATATCTACTATGTCCTATCCCATCCATTAATTCCATTCGCTCTACTCCATATTCATCTCGATTTCCTTGGTTCTCAAAACCAAGGCACCAGTCTTGCCCTCCTTCTCCTTGATGGTCTTGAGGAGCTCTTGGGCCTTGGTGCGCTTGCGAGCGACTTCCGCTTCTTCGGCAGCGGCGGCCTTCTCCAGCCGATCGACTTCGGTTCTGTGGCATGACAGAGGTCTTAAGGTGAAATTGTCTCGCGCCGCAAAGGATCGTTTGTTGGATGCGGAGCTCTGAGGTAACCCATCGAAGCCGGCCGGATTGTACAATGCTCGGTCTGCGTTGTGGAAAGGAGCTAACATCGCTATAGCCTTGATGAGATGCTAAGCATAGAATATGGTGAAATGGAAGGCGACCTGTTCGTCTCTCTCGTGCTGTTGAAACGTGGACAGAGTCTGGTCCCAATGTCCCAACCTCGTTTCTGATCCAGTGTCCAATCTTGAGAAGGAGTTCAGTGCTCGCATGTATCTCTGCAGCTAGTCCTTGGCTCCTCCCTGGTCCCTTCATCTTTCTCCGTTGAAGTCCTCTTGCGATGTGTGACAATATATTGAGTACTCACCCGCCTGTCTGTGTTGGGCATAATAATGAAGCCCTCTTCGAGTAAGTCCCCCGTCCTGCGGACAAAACCATTACTCTGATTGAAATAATGGTTGAGGATTATGTTCCAGACGTCAGTTACTGCGCCCTCGTAATCCTCATTTCTGGCCGCCGGATACCCTTCATGGAACGTCATCAACGTATCAAACTTGGGCACCTGCGTAATGGTTCCGCCTTGAGTGACGCAGGTGAGACTTCCATCTAGACTGCCTTGGGGAAGTCCAATACTGGGACCCCGCCCTGGTCTTCGCGGGCTGGATTCCGTTCCTCTGGATGCGTCCGCCAAGTCGGGAGCTGAGTGTCCCGAGCTGCATGCGTCCGGAGTATCTGCGTGCCGAAGCGCCTGATTCTCGATGAGCTGTATAAGTTAGCATCTGTTTAGTAAATATTAGATCTATATGCCTGATACTTACTCGCTCCTCTCGAGTGAGCTCCTCACCGGGGTCCGGCGGAGGGCCCGACCAGGTCCGCCTGGACCCCGGCGGAGAGGTAGCCCCGGTCCCTGGAGCTAAGGCTCCTACCGGTGTCCAAGCTAGAGGCCCCGTAAATGCTGAGCATTCGCTCTTGTCGACTTCATGTTGGCATCCTGCTCTCCGCTAGGAAATGAATATAACATGAAGAGGAAAGTTGCAAGCATTTGTTATGGACGGACGGGGGGAAACAGGCCGGTGGGTTTTGTTTCTGGATCAAGGTTTTTCATCCCTGATGAGGGACGAGGAAGATGGAGAGAGGGGGCGATTGTAGGGGTTTATGTAGCACAGATGATGGCGGGTATTCACTTCAACTGCATACTTCTGAGACATTCATCAGTTAATATTCTTAGTTGGCTGCTTGCTGTTTCCAGTGTATGAATTTATCTTGATGGACAAGGGAGATTGTTGAATGATCATCTCAGAGACACTACTCTCCTTTTATTTTACTACATTAGCCTAACAGCTTGGTTCATATTGCTGTTATGGAAACGCGTACAATCAACACAATAATAAGTGGATAATAGATCCTTAGGAATGACCTCTGCCTGGATGTACTCTCTGTGCCACAGGCTAGAATATACCCTTCCTTAGGACTATATACCCTGAAAGCACCCGGTTACTGGGATATTGTTAGACCCGTCTCTGGACACAAAAGCCTCTCTAAGTCTCGGGTCGCAACCATTTCGATTCATTTTCAATACATTACTTGGTCAATAGGCTCCGACCTTCTCCCCCGGCCTGAACGAGCCGATTAGCGGCACCATGTGAAGCCGCTGCCTTTTCGTTTCTCAAGCATTCTCTCTCCTCTTAGACTATCGGCCCCCGCGAATAGCCGTAACAGGTCCTTTTCGCGTTCGTGGGTGAGTATTTTGATCTCATCTAGGACCCCTTGGAGCTGTCGGTAAAGTCCTACCAGTCTACGAGCTCTCTCGATTATGTCGGGAACATTCACAGATGAGTTGTTAACGTTGTGTTTCCGGTGCTTATTGCTGTCAGGTCGTGCATTGCAAAGACAAAAGATCAAGCGCTCAGCATGACGTCCATATTGAGATAAAAAGATTACAACTCCCGACCTACACCACCATCCAAGCATCATAACTTCGAGATCAACTAACCAAAATGAATGCGCTCAAGCTCCTCGTGTTGGATATATTTCTTTACATCGACAAACTAATCCTAAGGAGTAGCACTGGTCGAGAAAGAGATGAACTGGTCCAAATATGGCTCGGGCCCATCTCATCATGGGATCCCGAAGCGACAGAGCCCCCTCTAGGTGTCTACCCCTGGTATGCCGAAGACCCCGAGTCATACACCCGTGACACCTTTCCGTCGCACTTTCGACTGAGGGCCCAACGATGCTGGGATTATTACGGGGATCCAGACAATGTGGAGCCTCGACTACCCCCGGAACCCTACAATGTAGACCCAAAGCTTTGTTCGTTTTTCTACTCCCTTTCCTTAGAGGCACAAAGCCGACTTACACCCTCTCAGGTTCACAGCTGGAGAAATTAGACAACAGCAGGCGAGCGCAGCGCAACCCAGGGAAATATCTTCGAGAAAGATGCCGTATTATCCTGTTGCCCTACCTGGAAGCTGCAGTGGAGCGGTTTGAGAAGGCTCGAACTGTCGCTGGCACGTATGAGCTTCAGTGGGGCACGGCAAAAGTAAAGGACATGTACCACCCTTTTGCGATGGAGACACGGCGATTGATTGCCTGGTCCGATAATACCATCACTTTCACCAACCCGGAGGGGCAGCGAAGAAATCTGCTTGCTGTCGTTGTGGCAAAGGAAAGACGGGGCGATGCCTACAATCCTTTGTTGGCTCATATGGGTAAGGTCAAGACAACAGGACAGAGAAGAGGAAATGCTAACCATGAAAATAGGAATAGTTCATAGGAATCGGAAGGACAGAGGCGAAAAGAACAGTGTGGTATATGGGATTGCCACTGATGGTTTCACTTTTCAGATCGTGAAGATTGATAACAAGTCAAAGGTAAGATCCTATAGAGGAATTCGGGAGTTACAAGCTAATCATGTGTGCAGCTGTTTCAATCTTGCTTATATTCATTGGAAGATTGGCAGTTCTTCCTTAAATATCTTGACGACATTTTGGCAGAGGCACCTAAACAATGCGAGGAATGATCCCCATATCAAGAGAAGATGGCTATAATTGCTGCAACTTATTTACTCCTGACTGGCTTCGTCTGATACTCCAGATTTGAAGATGAAATACACATGGTATTTGAATCTACACCCATATAACGCAAGTTCTAGTACCTTGATTTCCTATGGCTGCGAGGACGACTGGCTGGGTTCCATATCACCTGGCAATAAACCTATAATGAGTTGAGAGTTTACTCGGCCGAAATGAACAATATCAGTTATCTCAAATTCTCAATACCCACCCCATCATTTAAAAATCTCTCTCAGTCTCTCTCAGTCTCTCTCATACTCTCAAAAATCTGCCATGACCGAGCTACTCCTAACGGGATCTGACATCAATCAGATTCAGGCCTAGCGCCATGTATCATTCCCCAGCTGCCTCATGCATGATTGTTGCCTTAACCGCCAGAATCCCGGTCAATATCCATCACAATGAACATGAACATAAAGCTAAAGCCCACCCTAACACATCTAATCCTAACCGTAATCTGTCTCTTCACCCTCACATGCAGTAAGCCTCTCATCCACCCCCAGTTCGCATACAGAGTACTAACTACTAACAAACAGCCCTCTATCTCTACGCCCGGCACGAGTCATCCACCCACAGCAACACCGCCTATTGCGCAGACTGCCTGCACTACGCCATGAGCGTGGACGCCAAAATCCGGCACGCGGAGCAGGGCGGCGCGGAGAACGTCCGCGGCAACAAGCAGTTCTTCCGGTATGCGGTTGACGTGACTTGTCGGGGTGGGTTGTTTGTCGACAAGCGGTGTTTGGACTTTCGGAGAGCGTTCCTGGGGGATGCAGCGAGGTATATGATTGCGGTGGGGGAGCCGTATGAGGCTTGTAGGGGGATTGGGGCTTGTAGATAGTTAGCCTAGGGTTGGCGAATCTGATGTTTTGCTATTAATCTCGCTGGAGGCTAGTCTCCTGGACATGAAACTTCTGCATTACAGAGTATGATGAGTATGGATATCTTCAATCTTGATCAGGACATTGCAACCCCGGCTACTGATAAATCGACAACACATCCGTCGAATTGTCATAATCCACCCCACAAGCCTTCCCGAAATCCCCATACCTCTCCCCCCGCTGCTGCACAAACCGCCCAAACGCCTCCTCCGAGCAACTCTCCCCCGGCCCATCGCGACACCCAACAAGCGGCTGCGGACCCTCATTCACCAGCACGCGGTAGTACACCCCGTCCTCATACCCGTACGAATCACACGCCATCTTCTCAATCGCAATGTTCGTCAAGAATGGTAAGATCTGGCTACTCTTCCATACGCGGCCGTAGTTGATCGAGTCCGTGGGCATGGTGGCGTTGACGTCGTACGCGCCCGTGTAGGCGCTGTTATTGAATAGGCCCAGCGCGGTGAGCACGGTTGGCGGGAGCTCGCGGTGGGTGAACGAGACGTAGAGGTCTTGGGAGGCAGAATCGTCGGCGAGGATGGTTCTTGTTGCGTTGAGCCAGGGGAAGCCGATGGCAGGCGACAATTCGCGGCCGTAGCCTGTGTTGTGGAAGTACATGAGGTCGTTTCCGTACTCGAAGGCGAGCCATTCGGTTGCGGTGAAGAGGTCAAGGGAGCAGAAGGGGGAGGAGCCGCGGATGACGGTCTCGTAGCCGCAGAGCTCGAACATGGCTACGATGTCGTCGGAAGTGAAGTTGAAGGAGGGGGTTTGTGCTTGGAGGCGCGCGATGATGGGTTTGGTGTAGTGGGAGACGAATTCCTGGGGTTGTTAGCTTGGTGTTTGGGGTTGAGTTGACGGGACGTACGCTTGACTGCTTGGAGCCGTAGCTGGAGCTATATGCCGGGCAGCTTTCGTACGGGGTTAATGAGTTGGCTGCGGCGTGCTTGTATTCCCCGACCTGGGTGACATTGATCTGGGTCGTTTGGTTGCCGGTGTATCCAAGGATAAACCCCTGTGCCGTCTTGACGGTCCTCTCGGCTGTCGACGTCCATACGTTCTTTGGCGTTTTGAAGTATGGATATTTGTCGTGGATGTTGATGCCTAACATCAGCGACTCCTGCAGACCGACTCGGGTGAGTTTCTCGATATGGGCCTCGGTGATGGGTGCGCTCCACTTGCTCAGGAACGAGAGGCGTCCCGCTTTGGACCAATCCTGTGTTGTATTTTGCAGCTCTGGATGAATGGCTCGAGGTAGCTCTCATAGTCAAAATCGTTGGCGTAGATGGCGGCATGACGGACAAGATAAGCTGCGCGGGTGACATTGCAGCCCTGTGGTACCGAGGGGTCGAGTTGAGGCGCATTTGGTGTAAAGTATGGGGAAATTCCGGCCAGATGGTGGAGGGGATTGAAGTTATTCGAGGTGGTGGCTGCCAGGCTGACCGACCCTAAGGCCAGGAGGAGTGTAGAAAGCCGATGCATGTTCAGATATATAACCACGGCTGATCTAAGTCCACCACGTCTTTTACCGCAAATTTACTCAACGGATAGAAGATTACTAGTACTCAAATGAGGAGAGTTAATTTATAGTTTTGAATTGGATTGTTTATTCCATCGATGTCACCGGTGCAGATCACAATCCAGTTTGGACATGGATGACCAAGAAACCGGCGATGAGATGACGCAGTGGATGGAGACCCATCGCATCATCTTCCAACAAATATTAACCATTAATCCATCACATATCCACAACTTCATCTCTCCTTAATAGAAGCTTACTTCACCAACCAAATTCAGCAAATGAGCCTGTGGATTAACTCCAGCCCTACGACGGATCTCCGGAAATAGCTCCAAAGCCAGTCGCCTGGTTTTCCCCGGCAAAACCTACGCATGATCAAGGCAACACCATGAGTGAGCTGGAGATTGCGCCCTCAGTCGAAAGCAAGGAGTCGTTTCACAAGGTGGCACATTAATCCGATCGGAAATTGCGGTCGAGGGCCGTGTAACAGACATAATGCCATCCTCACCCTCTCCTATCTACGAATAGAAGTCTGCACGAGGGAGATCATTTTCGTGCCTCGCGTCCATCCACCTCATGGATGACTTCTTGGTTGGACTGCAACTCAGAAACAATCCGCTGAGCGCCGCTCGACGGATTCGAATACCCAGACTGGGCATATGTCATGTTGGCTGGACTGTATCCCACATATCCGCCACTCTGCTGTAATTTCCTCTGATACATCCGTCGCTGGAACCAGAGCGCAAATAGCGTCGCAACCAAGCAGGCACCCAGACCAGCACCAACCCCCGCCCCGACCGCGGTCGTCTTCGAGCTGGAATCCGTGCAGACTTCCGTACCGTTGCCGGCTGCAGCCGTCGTGGTGACCGTCGTCGTGGCTATCGTTCCGGTCCCGGTGGCTGTTGATGTTGACGACGACGTTGCCGATGTGCTTGTGTATCCGTAGATAGTGCCAATCGTGACTGTCCCGGCGTTATCGCAGCAGTCTGTCCCGTTGATGCTACAACACCACTGGTCAACACCCTTGGCCGGGCAAGGGAGAAGGTGGATTCCTCCCGATGTAGCTATACGCAAACCAATGCATTAAAAGTCGAACTTTAACCACTAGAAGCATGCCTGTCGCACTTACAGCCGGAACAAATCGTCGGACACTGGCTGCTCTTTCCGGTTTGATCGGTACACCCATTCTGATATATCAACCCGGCGTAGCCCTGCATCTGTGCCAGACACAGTCCACTCGTCAAACAAATGTCGTTGGCCATGCTCTTGGGCTTGTCATTCGCGCAGCAAGGGCTATTTTGTTGATCCGGGAAGCATGGCTGGTAACTGCTGTCTGCTTTGCTGCCGTCGGAGAAGTAGCATTGTGCTGCGATCGTGGGATGGATCCATTGTGTTAACAGCAGCACCACAGCGAGTGATGCCGATGACGATGAGAAGAGCATTTTGACGACTGAGATCTCGGTTCACGGGTCATGTCAGCACGAGAGAAGTCTGTCAGCCTTACGTGCGGACGAAGGGTGTCGGGGGAATTTATTCAGTCATGATTCGCGACCGAGTCTGCGGCACGTGGGCCATGTAGGGGGCATAAATCCAACATCTTGGCTAGGAATCATTGGATGAGAGTCTTGCTTGTGTGGAATTGCAGAAATGACCTGCTAGGATGAGGGACCATGAGGCTGACAGTGCGAACGCCGGGTATGGCCGTATGGGTTCGGGCTTTGAAAATGGGCTGATCACTCAGCTGCCTCTTAACTCCGTGTCTGGACACGTCATATGCACCAATCAACAGTCGATTCTGCATGTTGAATATTTCAAAATAGTCCACACTCCACAGGGAAGTAAAGACTCTCAAACTGGATCATTGGACATCAGCTGACAAATCAAAATCAACACACATAAACGAACAAACGAACTGGTTCGACATGATGCTGATCATACTGGAAAAAGTGAACGCTTGGGCCCTAAAGTGACTGGTAATGAGCCAAGTGGGCAGTGCAAAGCCAAGAACAAGCCTAAATTGTGGTCTATTACGAACTACCCAATCAACAATGGACTTATGGACCTTTCTTGGGGGGCCGAATGCGCATCGAGTCTTCAGCAATGGATAGCGCCGCTTATCTCACTTTCCAAGCCTCACTCATCAATGCGTCTGTGAGCTATGGCAAACCAACAAAGGAATACAGCGCAGGATCGTGTTCATTAGTTACCCACCAACAACATCTATGGGGCGCATTTTCGCACAATCAAAATTTCCTCCGTGGCAAAGACATCCAAGGGCGGTGACTAGCAGGCCTGAAGCTTTGGCTGGATCTTTGCAGATCAGAGGGCTACGCCTGGCCTAGATTATGCAACAAGTCAGGTCAATCTTCCCGTTTCCTAAGTCTGTCCGTATTCTTCGGCGGATTTGTTGACGATGCCTTCATCTCATGCTCTTCCTGTCCGTCAGAAAGCCACTCGTACTCAGCAGACATTGTACGGTGGTATATGCGTCGTGTATGATGGTTCAAGATGAACAGAAGATACCACTGGATGGATATTCCACAAGGCAATTCGAGTTTATAGCCTAAACACCCCACACGTCGTTTGCTTCAAGTCCTTGCTTGACAGCGAATAGTTTAGACAGGTGAGGAAGAGCAATCGCATGGATGCCTATGCTCTTGACGACCCTAATCGACAATCATGCTTGGCGTCGTGAATCCAAAGTCGCATATGGGTTTGCTTCTGTTAACTGCTTTGGTTGAGGTGCCTTGAGCGGATGATCGAGCAGCTCAACCCAGAAGACCTCAACGTGTCCGCCGTACTGAGGATTCAGCGATGTCTCGACCACTCATCGGCACGACTATCCACGGCGGTGATACTAACCACCTTTTGCCTACTTGATGAGCAGTGTTTCAGAACAGAAAAGGAAACCGGATTTACCACGGTATCCCCGAACCTAGTTGCAGGGTTGACTTGTTGGTTCAGAATAATGGTCCTGAGTTTGCGGGGCCTCCACGGGCCTTAGGGGTTCGAACGAGTAGGCGGGCCTCGGATCCGATCGAATTTTTTGATGGTTATCGTCTTTCGTTGCACGTCGAGCTGAACAAGCCTGACAGCACCATTCGAATTCGCGAACCACCAGCCTTGCGACGGGTCTCACTCTGCGCGAATGGCGCGTACCAGAGTAGCATGATAATTGTTGTGGTTTTGCTGGTGCCACAGGCATCGGCAAAGGGTTAGGGCGCCACGCTTGATGCCGGTAATCATTGCGCACATCAACGTAACAGGGCATCGGTGTCGTGAGAGTAAGGAATACCTCGTGACGATCCTGGTACATCTCAGGCTGTTTGATATTTTCATAGAAATTATGTCAATAGCGATGGATAATCTACCTCTCGTCCCTGGGTAGGGGACTCAATGGTCTCACCTGTTTCCTGCAACTGGACAGGAGTTACATCGGGCATATTACCGAGCTTAATCTTGAGTATGGAAGTATTGCTTTTGTCCTCCTGGATAGCACCACATTGTTGATGATAATGGTGAAGGAGTTGGTTCTGAACTCTGGCAGTTCACTGGTGGGTGATTGTGAGTGACCATTATTGCGCTGGTCTGAAAATGTCGTTGGCCTCATTCAAAAAGTCTGCTCTCTGAATCTCGTGTCCTAGTTGGTGACACTGTGAAGCAGAAAACCAACAGTGTCCATATAGTTTTCAAGCCAGTCTTTCCAGTCGGCAACAAAAACAATCATTGGCTGTCGCTGAGTCACACTGGTTTCGTCCTGATGTCAACCACATTCGATGCCGGGTCGTTGAGGAACTGTTAGAACCGGGGTTTCTCCATATCTATGGCGGTTATGGGTATCAAGTCCAGACGGGAACAGCGAAGAGGCTCGTTCTCTGGCTGATTTCCCACGACGTTGCTGAAACTGCGCAGCATACTGGCTGTGTTACTTGGTCAGTGAACATCATTTCATTGGAGCATCGTCTTACAAAGGTCGTCAGCCACAACATCCATTGAGTAGGCTGTGGCAAGAGGCTGTCGACGTTGATGTTCCTGGCAAGGCGAAAGATCCTTGCAACTTCGGCTCTTTTGAGCTGTGTGACAGCGAGGATTTTGGCCCTGCGCCAGGGTTCATGACAGCAACAAAATATTCCCCATATTTCTCCTGCTTAGCTTCGTCCAGTGTTGCTAATCACAGTTGAGGTCAACCAGGCAGTAAACGCTCTTAGCAGAGTTTATCTCAGAGAGGTAAGATGTAATAATAGGAAGCGCCCAGTAGCCTGTCAGCAGTTGCGCCGTATTGATTTCAAGTTTGATGTTTTCAAAATAGAAGGACCAGTTTCTGTACAGGGAATTTTCAAGCTTGAATGACACAGTTAGACAGTGGAAGAGCAGATGCTCAAGAGCAAGATTGCAGGTGAAATCAACACTAGCTTCGATTATTCGACCCTGAAGATGATTACGACTAGAAGAGTAGAAGTAGATGAAGGAAGGAAGATGGGGAGACGTAGAAGTGGATATTGCAGATCTATTAGAGATGAATATGGTCTCCTCTGATTGCAGTGAATACGGGCTTCGCTTCCAAGGCAAGCTATTAGAAATTTACAGGAGTGAATATCCAAGCCAGTCACTGGGTGAGTGATCCGGGTACTTGTGAATTTAGAGATCCCAAACTGCCATACTCTGAACCAGTCCCATTCGCAAGTCTGCAAGGTGGGCCACTATGCGAGTCAATAATGCAGTCATTGTGGAGTCTTAACCATTTGGTGTATGAGACGTGTGCTGATTCTTCACCGTCATGCCAAGATCTCCGCCAAGCACCGCCCGCAGGCCAAGAGCATTGGCGGGGAATTTCCCTGCTCTACTGGGCCCAAGGTGGATCGACTTGAAGTATTAGCAGCACGTTCATTCCCCGGGAAAGTGAACCACTACTTCAGGTGGATTTCCCAAATTTAGATCTTCTTCAAACCAATTTTGGACATAG